GAGTGGGGCGTCTCGGTCGACTACCAGGACTCTTTCGATACGCAGGTTCAAGTGTTCAATGATGCTGGAGTTCCTTGGGTAAGCATAACAGCTGTGAATATCAGATGAAACGCATACTGACGTACATTGTAGTTGTATTGGCAGATCGTCCCTGGCTTAGACGGCTCTGAAGCAGGCGCGCCCACCAGCTGTGGATATGATAGCTTCGAGATTGGCTTGGGTAGCTCGAAGGGCGATGTCGCCGGAGGGATTGCTGCAGCGAACGCGGCTTCGGCAGCGCAATCTTGGGCGGGTTATTTGTGAAGAAGCCAATTTGGCTCGCGAGTGTTTTCGTAGTTGCGCTTCCTTTCGTTGATGTATTTCTCCAATTTTGAAAATGTAGGGTTTGGCAAGCGCGTGCCATTTCCTCGTGCCACTCTTTAAATCGATCACGTTATTCATAGATACACGACCTAACCCATCGGAGTGAGTTGCTTACTTCATAACTTTTGGACTAAATGCGTTGCTCCTTCAGGGTTCTTGCTGTTATGGCGCTGCGTGGTGGAAATCCAGGATGCGCGTTGCACTTGCCAAAACTCCACGCACCGTCGACGCGTCGATGTGACGTCACAAGACCCATTTTTCTACTGGCGCGCCTCCCACGCGTGCGCGCAGCACCCGAAGGTTGCGAAACCTCAGAGCGCAAAACGCATCCTCTAGGCGCTATAGTGCTCTGTCGGTCTCGTGTACTCATGACACAACAGATTACTCCAGACATAACGACTTTGCTCAACGGTCTTTGACCTCTGCTTCTCAACAGAGGAGAAAGCGGGACGGATGAGGCTCGGTATAAGTAGTATACAAAGGTCTTCTCATATCTATTGCTGTTATATGGCGTACCCTTGCATCATGCAACGCACGGGGCGTTCGCCGTCTAGACGCCTTTGTGTAACAATTAGCGAGCGAAGGCAAACACGAATTGGCATCGAGTAATGCTAAACTGATCACTCACCTTCCACCTGTCTCACGAATATCGACCACACGAAGAAATCGCGAAGTCACGTCAAACTCTAAGAAAGTATGCCCTGGCGCGATGAGTGGCCCGTTGAATTGAATGGAGAAGAGTACGATGGCAAACATATTCTGACACTAGTGCGGGACAATGCTAGTCCTTTCAAAGACGTCTGGAACGTGCAGTCGCTCATCGATGAGATTGAAGAGAAGCTCCAAGTTAAAGTAACAGATATCCCGACTATCGATAAAGGCTCCAACAACTATGTACGTGTATCTTCGCACCTGCTCTCCGACCAACCTATCTAGCCCTGCAGCCCTTTATCACCAGGGAAACGAAGATGGAAACGTCGCCCAGTAATCAACTAAGGCGATCTTGCCGACTACACCTGACTGACTGTTGATCAGGGATTCCACTTGAAGGTCCGAAGTGGACCAGATATGGTGGTTCGTCTAGCTCGTGGCGACGTCAATATGCCAGACTTTGATGGCTTCGCTATCGAGCAGCAGATCCCCGAGGTTTTGTTCGAAGCAGCCACGTACACTCTTTTGCGCAACGAAGCCGAAGTCCGCGCCTCTCGTCTAATCTACTCTCGCGCACCACTCCTGAAACCAGGCTCTAGGACGCAGGTTCCAGATGATCTGTCTGGTCGACGCATGTTTGTGTTCGAACGATCTGATGGAACTAATAACGTATGGGAAGAGCTTGATGCCGGAGGAAAGGTGAGAAATAATACTCAAAGTGTTCGTCGTATACTAAGAGCTTCTAGGAGTCGCTGCTTGATCAGCTTGCACGCATGCGTGCTGCCTTATTCAACTATTGCCCACCGTCGGAGTTCACGACCGAGTACCTACATAGCCGCATCTTTGACTTCAAACCAGATGCTTTCACCTTGCCCGTAGCACCTACTCGCGAATTCTGGACACACGTAATGAAGTCAAAGATTGAAGCCACAATCAAGAACGACGGTGACATGATTGGATGGGAAGATGATGAAGAAACTGTGGGACCTGTTGCACTAGTAGCAAAGCAGTCTCTCCTCAAAGCGATACCACATCTACTGCCGCAAGAGAACTCCGACATCTTGTACAGGCTAGTGCTTGATCACGGTGACTATGGGATACACAACACTTCGATCATCACAGACGAAAGCTGTATGCCCGGAGTCACGTCGCTATATGATTGGGAGACAGCATGCATCGTTCCAGCTCTACTAGCTGACCCACTTGTCGCGGCTGGTCCTGTGGATCTGATTACGAACGAGCATGCTGAGCCAGCTGTTACTAGAATACCTGGATCATCGACAGGTGCAGAACTAGAAGCATATGCTACCTGGTCGCGACATTACATCAAGGTTCGTCTGTACCGAATCCTGCTTACCATGATGGTGCGCTAATACCTGGTACAATGAACAGGAATTGTACACGCATGCGCCAGACTTCGAGGCCGCTATCAAAGCAGGACGGGACGTACGGTATCTGTGGTTTGCGTTGCGCGACTGGCGTGGTGGTGCATCTGAAAAGTTCTTTGGCGACCTTGGAGCTTGGGCGGAGGCACGGCTGAGAGAGAGGGGACTCTCGTGAGTTGTTAAGTCGTCTTGAGCATCAGTTAGCCAACTTTGTTATGATCTTGAGAGATTGTAGTAGCGGGTCGTAGTCTAATGGATGTAATCTGAGCGCAAAAGATGTGTTAAGTTTCGGCGCACAAACGAAGCCAGAAGCTTATAACAGCGAAAATCGCCAGTAGTCATCCATTCGTTACTAGCACACCGGTATTCTGATTGTACAGGGATGAGTGGACGCGAATCATAGCGGCCGATTTCCAGTTAGAGCCCCCGAAGACCTTTGGGGAACGTGTTCGGCCAAGATTGGGCACCTCGCAAAAGGGATTTGCCGGATAAGCTCCAGCTGCGAGCCATGGGGGAGACTGTCGCGCGACTGCCTCAGAAAGCTCGAAAACGATTTTCTGTTTGATATTGTCGAAATTTCTTGCTTTGCGCGTACTGTCTGCGCATGCAGTCTACGCGTGAAGTCGGTTCAACTGAGCAACTGTGGGGGCAACTCGCCAATGCCCAGCTACAGGTGCCTAGGTGGAGTCCATGGGTAGGACTGTTCGTTAGCGTGGTTGCCCCTGGTCAATGCGGCATTACCTCGGAACAATCGCGCGCAGCAAACAGCCGCCGTAGAATCGCGCAAATACATATACCCAATCTCCCAGCCGCATCACCCCGCATAGGAGGACACGCATCGAGCAGCTCCTGTCCATCTAGCCCCGATCACCAGAAGTACCCGTGTGGAAACCTACAGCAAGTAGTCTAATAACAAGATGAATCCGGATACCAATTCACGCCTCTGTCCCGACTGGGTCTTTCTAAACAATGCCAACGTACAGTAGGTGAGCTACCACTGATTTGAAAGCATCAAACGTTAACATCTGGCTGTCAGCGTCGCAAAGGACAGAGGCTGGTTCAAAACGTACACGCCCTTCAAATCAACAGTGGATTCCTCGCCCTTCTTCGGCCCGCACACGCAAACTCCCGTGCTGGGAATAGGTACCGTCGAAATTCCAACCAAACGCTCTCCGAATGCTTCCGGTGTATCTTCGCATCGTTCTCTCGTTCTCCACGAGGTCTTGCACGTGCCTGACTTTATTTGCAACACCATTGGGCAACCACTCATGTACACTGATGGATACAACGTAGTGACATTCGGCGGCAAAAGCGGAAAGCACAAAGGCACCATCAAAGACAGCAAGGGTAAAAACGCTGCCTATTTCGCCTCTAAAAGCCCATTGTTCGGAATCAAAGTGCGCCGGTCACCGAACGGGCCAAGGCTCGGTCCGTACGCGCTCAAGAAGGACGTGATGTACATGCTAGGCTGCCGATGGGACGATGCCGAGAGGCGTAAGTGGGAAGAATTCAAAGCCAGAGATGGACTCATCACTCCGGAGCCAAATGCTGCGCCTTACACGGCCGAAGAAACTTCGTTCCTCAAGAAACACTATCGCTCTGAATATCACTTCTTGAGACAGCACGGGCTCAGTATCTACAAAGAGGAAGACCGCGAAGAGGGACGGGTGATTTTACGCGCCATCATGCGTGAGGACGAGATGTCCGAGCTGGGAGGGTCCGGGGATGAGGAGGATGATTTTGATGTGTCACGTCTCGAAGGCCATCAGGCAGACTACAACTTCACGGAACGCCAGCTTGATTGGATCGAACAGTACTATGGCAATTCGGAGCAGTTTATGATTTCGTATGGACTCAAGTTCTACCGTGAAGAGGATCTCGAGGAGGCAAAGGCCATTGTGGATGTCATGATGGATGGAGATGATTAGGGGTGCCTAGGTACCTTGAAGTGTTGCTCATTAAGAAGCTATAGATCCGAGAAGAAGAATTGGGTATATAAAGCAGCCGAAATCTGGTAATTCCCCTCTACCAGTGTCCACCGAAAGCGTAATATGAAATGTATAGACTCTGATTGAGCCCGCTGGGTGTGAGCGGGGTGTGTTGCTCAAAGCTCACATAAGATGGATACGGAAGCTTCATCATATATCAAATCATCTCTAGCTGCTCATCCGGTACCCGTAGATCACGTACACATGCTCAACAAGGGGAATGCAGAGCTTATGATGGTATGAAGAAACCACGATCCTTAAGAAAACCTATGGTTTCGAGTTCCTTGCTCTAAATATTGGTATCTCGGTAGCTTGAGAGCTTGTCCTGATGGGCCTTAGGCTGGTGGGGCGAACGCGGGCAAAAAGATATAACCACCACCATGGCGCAAAAAAGAGCAAAACATACAACAGCCTACTAATCCGCCAGTACACCGTGACCAAAACCTCATGTAACCGAAGCAGGATCAATGCGACAATGACAGGGATAGATGGCTCTAATCCGACAAGAACAACAGAAGATAGAAACAAACATAGTAAACGACAGTGTAGGAATCGAAGTCCACATTAATACACCCCAAGCGATCCTCTCCAACAATGGCCTTCTCATAACCTCTTACCAAAATGTCAGTTTGTCCGCCACCCAATCCGTTACCGCAAAGAAAACATTGTGGCGGTGGAAGAAGCTCCGGTTTTTCTTGCCGAGGATATCTACAAAAGCACGGATTAGCCACTGCCCTCATCTCGCCTTCTCTCTGAGACTTACACATCGGAATCGTCAACGCACAAACAGCGACCTGCGCACTCCCAACGGCGATAAAAAGGGTCTTGATTCCCCCACCACCACCTACCCCACTCCGCCGTCCAGCTTCAACGACCCAGTCGAAGCCTTTAAACGTCAGGGCGAAGGAGAACACGTTCTTGAAAACGAGGAGGCACGTGAAAGCTTCGATGGACATGCCGCCTATATACGTCAGTACCTAGGCATCTCAAAGCATGGAATGGTCTCGGAGACTTACGATGCGCATCGACAATGTATAGCGCACTGGCGACAGCACCACACACCATACCCATAACTACGAGCGCGAAGAAGAAATCAGGCCAAAACCAGCCGTACGTTGCCGTATCTGCGCTGGTCCAACCGAAACCATAGATACCAGCACAACCTAATATGAGTTGTGGGACCACGAGCACCATGCGGAACTCGGGTTCGTAGACGCCGTTATTGAGACGCGTGAGCAGATTGGCGGACCAGTCGCTAATCAGACCGGTGAGGCCGAAGCCGAGGAGTGCACCGATGAAGGCGCCTGTATACCTTGATGGGGTTAGGACATGTAGGTGCAAAATATGAACGGAATGTATCAACTTACATGTATCCTGTCTCCTTCTCTCCAAACCAAAGCGGTGGGCCAAGCATAATTGCTGCAAGCACAACACCGATAAGGACCGTGAAACCGATTAGACTGCCTTGGATGAGACAGGCCCATAGTATACCCGGATGCAAGAACAGCGAGAACGGCCGCAGAAGGAGGTGCAGATACCGGTCATCTGTTTTCCGCCCATTGAACGGCTTCATACTTTCGAGAAAAGTAGCCTTGCGTGGCAAATCACCCACCGACTGCTCGTCCGCAGAGTTTCCTGCTCCCTTTTCATCCGTGTTTCCAGCTGCTTCGTGTTCAGCAGATGTGCTACTCGACCCCCGATTACCCAGGATTTTCATCTCTTCTCCATCCTTAACCAGCAAGTTCCCCATAGTGTCGGTGTCAAATTTCTCTTCCCTCCTGAACGCCGTTTCCGGGCAGAAGAGTATGATCAGCGGTAGCATGATCCCCGAGAATATGGCGACAAAATAGAATGTCCACTGATATCCGATTGAATCTGCAATCACTCCTACCAAAACTGGGGTAAGGAACGCGCCTCCGAAGACGGCGAAGTTTGACAGCGCCATGCGGACTCCGCGCTCGTGGACGTGATACATATCGCCAACACTGGCTTTGAATCGAGATACAAAGTTAGTGCATGCTTCAAGTAGGATTCGAAGATATCCACGCTTGAACTCACCATTGACGAGCGCTTCAAATGGCGCTAGGCCCACGCCTTGAAACACCCTCGCCCATAGAAACCCAGCATAATTGTTTCCTATCGCGCCACCCCACGCACAACTCACCACGACTATCACAGTTCCTAGAATGTACACATGTCGTTTTCCCCAGATACGCGCTGATGGCACGAAAAGAAAGCCTGCGACTCCGACACCCAAGAGGTGGTAGCCGGTCAATAGAGCCATGTCGGTTAGGTTGTGACCAAAGTAAATGGCGAGGGAGACAGTATTGGCGGCAAGAATGGGAGAGAGGGTGCTTGCGATGACTGATATGGAAGATAGAAGAAGGAGAATGGTGTCGCGACGACGAAGCGACCAGTTCTGGAGTATCAGTCAACTATGTGCACTTGCCTGGATTTTGTGCCAAAATGGGACGTTTGAAAGACGTACAAGCGGATCATTCGGATCATCACTCGGCTGCGGAACAAGCAGTATTGTCCCAGTTTTGTCGTACTTCAAGCCTGACCTCCCTATGATATTTCCTGCATTTCTTTCGATTTCCCTCCGCTGCTCGCCTTCCAATACCTGCGCGGTCCCAGGGACCTGTTCGAGCGCATGGTCAGAGAGGATGCCGAGACCCATTGTCGCACGACCTTATGAGTGCTGATTGCGGTAGAGCGTCGCAACAGCTACGTGGAATGCATGCGCAAAAAAATGTAAGGAAAAAAGGAAGTAGGCTGGAAGTGAGGACTGATGATGAAGGCTGACAGTGACGGATGCCGGGGATGTTGAAGGGTCGAAGATCTGGGGTGTGCAGATCGTCCAATGGGCCGCGGGAGCTGAACATGCTTCGGTGGAAGGCAGCTAATGGCAAATAGTAGCGGCCGAGCGCGTCCCGACTAGGGGCCGACGAGGCTTCAACTTCGAGTGTTCAAGAATAAGCCGCACGGGCACGGGATTGGGCGGATCAGCTGGATTATTCCGCAGCACGTCGTGCAGTCGCGAACAAAAGATGGAGTCAGTCATTGTGTGCGTCTGGAAGACTGTAATCATTACCAGCGCGTTCTAAAGGAAGAGAGTTGAAGTGGTTTCACGCCAAATAAGCTGGGCAGGCTTTCCAGCCTGGTGTCATCGATGTATGTAGTTTCATAGCACCTCCCTTTAAGAGGATACATCAATCAAATGTCTCCAAAGAGGATGCATTCACAGTTACTTGTTATTACAGGTTAGCACTAATGCTAGAGATCTACTAACAGTTGTAAATGACGAAATAGATTATGTTATTAAACAAAGAAGTTTCCAAACTGCGGGAATACACTACAAATAAACCAGGCCATGTCTTCGGTGTGGACAATCGATAATTGCAGGAAGGTTTTCTTGAGGCGCGAGTCGGGAAGTTGTCTGGTACACGGCCCGTCAGGTGCATGGCTGGGGCTACCGTTCGAACAACGGGCGCTGGGCAAGTATCCAACAGCGTACAGTGATAACGGTGTTCTCCTACAAAGCAGCGAGCAGCCCGACCATGGCAAGTCCAAGACCAACTCCCGCGCCTGCAGTCTGGATGGGTGCTGCTCCAGTGTTGCCAGCCGCTGATGCTGAAGTGGCGGAGGCGCTTCCTGAAGGGGTCATGGAGGCGGTGCCAGACACTTGTGTGACAGAGGAGTTGCCGGCAGAAGGGGTCGCACTGCCAGATGCTGTCGCGCTGCCAGACGGGCATGAGGGTTGGGTGTTTACGTCGATGTTCTGAAGTTTGCATATCTCGACGCCGAACTGAGTGGTCGCTGTGATACTTGTTAGCTGGCACGGGACGCGAAATGGCAAGCGACATACCAGCGATATCCGACTGTGAGCAAGTAGCGAACACACAGCAAGACACAGCGTCGATGATCTTGCTCTCGCAAATGCATGCAATGTCAGTAGCACCGCAGCTGCCCAAGTTGCCACCGAAGCAGGCTTGCTGCGTTTTCATTAGCTTTCGTTCGCCGGTAGTTATGGTCAATAACTCACAGCACATTGCGGGATCTGGTCAAGAAGACCTTGTGCCAGAGCTGTAGAGCTCAAGGCAGCGGCAGCGGCGATAATGAGGAAGCGCATGTTGGCAAAGTTTGGTTACTTGACTGTGAAGTATGATTAACGACGAGGTTTGCTTTAGACTGATACGCGACGGAACCCGCGAGGGGAAGCATGGTTTTGAAGTATCCGCCGGCCTGTGGCAGCGCCCTGAGAGAGACCTAGACCTACGATGGCTGCCAATTTACAGCTGAAGCATGCTTGGTCCCTACCTGATTGGCGGTTCGTTCCACCATTTGACTTCCCGATTGGCAGACTTCTCCACAGACAAGCCGATTCACATGCTTGATCCCAAATCCGGCGCGCACGTCCCTCCATAGGGCTTGGGCTGGGCTGAGATCGGAAGTAAGCCGGGGATCGGCGCAATTGCTGGAGAGACTGCTGATTGGTACTGGCGTCCCAGCCCGACTCAAGACCACCTGGGCAGGCACTAATCTGAACCAAAGGCGCACTCTATTGTCGCGAAAGCGACCGCCGTGTTCTGTTCATACCCGAGCACGGTCCGAATAAACCCAAGTCGATACCAGCACGTTCTCAGTTGTGAGACGGTGCAAGAAAGTGACGTTGGGGACGTTGATAATTTTGAGGACACCTGCAGCAAACTCAATCACCCTCGTCAAACAATATGAATGCCGAGCACTGTATGACTTTGGGCGAGCATTGTACCACGTAGGTTGCCGCACGCCACCTAATGCGGACTGCAAACGCAAAAACTTAAACACGGTAAGGGCATCACCGGAAGCCCACAAGTTAACACTTCGTGAGTAAACTTTGGAAGTGAGAGGACAGAGCGTTCGCCGTAGGAGCTTTGATCACCGACAGCCTCCCCTACAATAATTGCATCCAATACTTCGACCCCCGGCGCCTTAGCAGATAAATAATGGCAAGTGCAATGCAACTCATTCTAAATGTCGCCAAAAACCTCAACAGTAAGATTATAGACTCTTGATGCTATCAAAACCGGCCTCGGCGAGGCTTAGGGGCCGGGGTTTTCGGAGAAAAACATAGAAGACGGTCGTGATTAAGATTGCGATTAGCGCAAATGGCTTAGGGCGAGCGATTGTTGTTAGGAGACCTCACAGGATGACGTCCGTTATGCCGAAGCTGACGATTTCTGGCATTCTGGAATGGTTTATGTTGGTAAGCCGTGCGGATCTTGATCGCGCGCTTCAGAGTGTTCCAGCGGTAAGGAGTAAGCGACGGTGGGCGAGAGGGTGGGCGCCAGCATGCGATGGCAGTCAATAACTAGTCGGAGGCCGGCATGTTGCAGACTTCGCAGACTAGGCTACTTTCTTCAGTTTGATGTTTGTGCCACGAGGAGAGAGCAAATCGGTCTAGTTTTCATTCAGCTCGCTGGGGGTGGTTACTGAAGGCAGGAAGGCGCACGGTCGTGTTCTCGAAAATGTGAGTTTGAATCGAAATTCAGCCATTCTGAACACGAAGCATCCATTCAGCAATGTTGTGATCCTTCAGCGCCTAGATGTAGAGTGGTTTACATATTCTCAAATGGAACAAGTGTGCTCCACTACAACTTCGAGCTTGTATTGGAGATCCGGGGCTGCTAGTTCAAGGTGGGCTACAAATCGGAGCTATTCTCGGACCTTCTTATCCACGAACGCCATTATCTTATCACTTGATGAGACCCTTCTAAACCCCTCCTTCGTTCAAAGCGTGCATTTCCCGGTTATTCAGCAGTTTCACAACGACTTATTCTTCGCAAGATCTTTGGGGTACATGCGAAACGTCTCCTCGAGTATGGGTCTGTCGCTTGTTCAGTCGAGTCTACGTGCGAAGACATCGCGCGTAGACATATGGCCAGGAAGGAAGAGTTCATCGCAAGTCGCATTGTTATGCGATTGAAGAGTGGGAAGGACTAATGGCACACCTGCGATCATACTGTGACCTGGTTCCGATCCATCTGACTCACCTCACCCAACAATCGCTCGACCAACGTCTAAAACGAAATCTACATACACAAGGCTCGTCAATGAGAGAGAACGCTCCAGCGAATTTGGTAGATTGGTAAATGAGTGGCTAGACCGGTAAACTTCACTAACTATGCGAAACCGTCGTTAAACATCTGCGTAGGTGGCTGCGTCTCATGCAGGGCAGCGAAACGAGGGTCGGAAGGAACAATAAGGCCTCACAGATACACTAGCGCAAGCGGAACGCCATGGCGAGTTTGATACTTCCCCAGCAAGGAGCCCATCACATCCTCCACATATCGAGCGACGATGCTCTCATACGATGTACTACTGTCTCCACACATGATGCATCTCAGCCCGACATAGGGCTATAATCAAGATCTGAGTCACTGATTAGCTTCAACCCATATCCGCGGTCGATAGAGACCTTACCACTGCTGGATCTATACCACCAGCAATCCGAACCTTCCAAGAGCTTCTGTCAACTTGACTGAGGTTGGAGATATCGTTTGACTCCTGCAACAGCAGTTCGGCGATACAGACGTCTTTGGAGAATACCCTAGTCGTAATTGCGCTCTGGTCCTTCTGCCGAACCTGCAGCACCACGTCGTCTTCCTTGTCTTTTCCGGTGGGAACGACCATATCAAGATCCGATCGGCGCCCAGAAGAGACATGTTTCAGCTCCGCTATGCGCTGACCATCTGGACTTTCCACCGTCCAGAGGTTCTTCATTGCCGACCCGTGATGTCGTAGGTCGAAGATAGGCACACCCGAAGTGTCTTTCACCTGTCGACGCCATGACCAAGACTTCATTGGCCCAGGTCCTCCTCCCACGAAGAGCTCTTGGCCTTTCTCATCCACAACGGTGACGTTTGAAAACAACCGATCGTGGCATTTGACATAGATGCTGGTCTCTTCATTCGCGATGGGGGCATCAGAGATCTTGAAAGGAAGCGAGCAGAACTCGAGAACTGCCGACATGTCGACTGCCAACTGAACAATGGATTTCGAAAGGTTTCAGGGGTAAGCTGGGTGCGAGTATTTGCAGTTGCAAAAGCTGAACAATGCGACAAGATAGATGGGTAGGCCTCGTCAACCGCTGGGTGAAGAATGAGAGGGAATGCAGGTCGGAACACGCATGCGCCATGAGAACTAACTGCGCA